ATAGTGGCTCTATAATCAATTATTTTTAAACAAAAAAATTTTTTTTACTTTTTAATATATGTTATAAAACATCAAAAAGTTTTTAAAAGATCCGTTGTTTCTTCAAAAAAAATTCCTAAAAATCACCTTCGTTTTAGCGATTCATACGAGGCTCCCCCCTTAATAATTTGTAATTGACGTAAGACTTGTCTTTTAAATGCAATATCTAAAAAGACATTTGGTAGAAAGTATAAGTATATATTATATGTAGAAAATACTTATAAGTTAATTTGCTTTTTGATTAATGTCATGTGTGTGCGCAAGTATATAATACAAGCTACTAAAAATAATAGAATAGCTCATAGGCTAATAGGAGGATCTCAAGCCAAAGAAAATTGTAATTCTTGATACTTTTTATTGAAACCAATGTTTTAATTAAGCAGCATACGTTTCGGCTGATCTTTCAGCCATCATCAGTGCCTTACAAACTGAACAATTATATATCTTAGTAATTTTTTAATATGATTGAGGTCAAGATAATAAAAAAATGTTTTACCTAATAAGATAAATAATTAATAAAATTATTTTTCTATTACATACCTGTTTCTTAGAAGACAGTTATTTTAATTCGTTATTATTAATAAAAACTTTTATGAAGTGATCACGTATGTGATTGCGAGAATTACTTATTGAGGTGTTGATCGAAAATCACTATGTTCTTAACTGTGAGTTGAAATGTGAAACCCAGAAAGCGTTAAGGCAAAAAGGATATAAGGGAGGGGGGAACACAAGAAGAAGGAGTAACCAAATGTACAGCCGGCAAGAAGAAAATTATTATTTTTCTACCTCTATAAAGTAAGCAATAAGTTGAGAATCGGAACATACGAATCAGAGAGCAAATCAGTGTCACTTTGTTTATTTAATCCGTGTGACTGTCTTTTAATATTTATCATTTCAGAAGTTAGTCGTCTGAAATATGATTTTTCATTATCCACTATGCTAACTCCTTTCCAATTCATTTAGTGATTTAATTTTAACCGATATTGTGAGATAACTGAAAGAGAAGTGCTTTTCTTAATGTCGTTTTTATGCTCTTT